ACTTAAAGTCACCAAGCTATTTCATTTCAAATCTAGAGGCCAAGTGCATTGTAAGTTCTCAATTTCAATTTTGATCATCACTTGTCACCACCATATCATCAACATAGATAATCAAAGCAATAATTCTACCCTTTCGGTGCTTTAAAAACAAAGTGTGATATGAGTTGCTTTGTTTATAGCCGAAGTTCTTCATAGACTTGGTGAATCTACTGAACCAAGCTCTTGGAGATTGTTTTAAACCATACAATGTCTTCTTGAGTTTGCACACCTTTGTGACATTTGAGTACTTCTCTATACCTAGAGGAAGATCCATATACACTTCTTCTGTAAGATCTCCATGCAAGAAAGTATTTTTTACATCAAATTGAAGAAGTGGCCAATCCCGGTTAACTGCAAATGACAAGAACACTCTAACCATGTTAAGCTTGGCAACTGGTGCAAAGTTGTCTTGATAGTCAATTCCATAAGACTGCATATACCCTTTTGCAACCAACCGAGCTTTGTACCTTTCAATGGTCCCATCCGCCTTATGTTTGACCATAAATACCCGTCTACACCCCACAGTCTTCTTTCCCTTCAGAAAAGGCACAAGTTCCCAAGTAGCATTCTTTTCAAGTGCTGCCATTTTTTCAACCATGGATTGGGTCCATCTAGCATCTACTAAAGCTTCTTGCATTTTACTAGGAATAGAGATAGACAATAAATGTAGCACATAAGACGCATATGACTTGGACAATTTTTCCGAAGATACGTGATCACTAATGGGATATCTAACTTTGGATTTAGGATCAGACTCATATTTAATAGGTGGTATACCACAATTAGAACGAGCTAGAAGACGATAATATTAACATCATCAACAATCATGGAATTAGGATTAGTGGGTACCTTTGAATGAGTCTTAGGAGAAGATTGACCCAGTGGTTGTGTTGGATTGTTAGGAGACACTGTACTATCATGGAGAGAATTATCTTTGGAGCTTAGAGCTGTTTGTCCAACAATTTGGAACCTTTCCCCTTCATTAGGCCGATCGGTGGTATCACTTCAATTGGCTAGAACAAATCCAAGATAGAGTCTTCATCTATAAATTCCTCAATCACCCGATTTTCTTCTTTTGATTCTTTTGGTTATCCGGGAAAGATCCAAGACAAAGAATTATTTTCCATAGCATTTCCAGATGTTCTATTTCCTTCATCTAAATATTTGGAAAAGAATGCATGTAGTTCTTCATGATTAATCACTTTGTCTCGATTCTCCTCTTGAAATGGTAAATTAGTCGTCGGTGTCTTGTAGAAAAGTTCTTTCTCATGAAAAATAACATCCATGGAAACATAAAATCTCTGAGAAGATGGATTATAACACTTGTAGCCGTTTCGACTAATCCCATATCCCACAAAAACACACTTCACTGCACGAGACTCAAGCTTAGTTTGTTGATGTGGATGCAAGTGGACATAGAATACACATCCAAAAATTCGAGGAGCCAAAAGTACCATTGGTGGAAGAGTGAAGTGATCAAAGAGAGCATCCAATGGTCTTCTAAAATTGAGAATACTAGATTGTGTATGATTTATCAAGTAGACTGTTGAATTCAAGGCATCACCTCACAAGTGAGAAGGGGCATAACCTCCAATCAAGAGAGACAAGTAACTTCCAATAACTGTTTGTTTTTCCGCTCTACAACACCATTTTATTAAGGCGAATTAGGACATGTTCTTTTTTGAATAATCCCTACTGAGTGCATGAATTCTGTCAATTCTTGCTTGAAGTATTCTCCCCCATTATCGGAACGAAGGACTTTTATTGGAATACCAAACTGAGTAGTTACCATTTGATGAAAGCAAGTGAAAGACCAAGCAGACATCACTCTTATGCTTTAATTGATAAACCCAAGTCATTTGAATGCAATCATCAACAAAAGTTACAAACCATCTCATCCCATTAATAGTAGAAATTGGTGTCAGTCTCCAAACATTTGAATGAATTAATGAAAAAGGTAGATTTGCTTTATTATCACTTAAATGGAAAGTAGTACGATGACTTTTTGCCATTACACAAGTTTCACAACTAAAATCCAAAAAATGACATCCACTAAGCAAAGAGGGAAATAATCTCCTAAGATAGCTAAAAGAGGGATGTCCTAGTCTCTTATGCCACAACCAAATTTCTTCTTTTTTCCTATTCATCAAATCTTCCTTTAGCAAGTGAGATGACCTTCTTAGTTGTAATGTTGGAACCCATTATCCAGATAGTACAATTCTCCATTTTGTCTACCATTGCCAATCTTCTCCTTGATATGGATGTCTTGGAAAACATAGTGAGTAGGAAAAAATAGAGTAATACAATTATGAGATTTGGTTAATTGATTAACAGAGAGAATATTACAATTTAATGATGGCACAAATAAGACATCTTTGATAGCTAAGGTGAGGGAAAATGAGACTGTGTCAACTCCAATAATTGAAGATGATATGCCATTGGCATTGGTAATAGTAGTTTTGGAACATTTAGGGGATAAGTAACTAAACCTATAATGATCATAAGTCATATGGTTTGTTGCAGCAGAATCAATTATCCAATCACTATTTACCGTAAAAGACATCCCTAATTGAATAGTAAATCCAGGAGTTGTGGCTAGATTCCCCTTCGGGTTAAAGTCTTCCTCATTAGCACTAAAAGACATCTGAGACGCTTTCTTGCTCTTTGGATGTCAATCCGGATATCCATGGATTTGAAAGCATGTATCCACCATGTGACTAGTACCATTACAGTGAGTACACTTCCAATCCTTCTTTGAGGTAGGCATTTTCTAAGAGGCCATTACAGCCCTTCTCCAGTTTTTGCTCCAAGCATAGCATCTTGGCGATTAGCTTCCACACAAACCATAGCATAAACAACTTGTAAATCTTGAAGTGGTTTGGTAGAAAGCATGCGACCTCGAACCCCATTTAATTGAGGGTCGAGACTAGCCAAAAACATATACACACATTGGGAATTAACCTTAGTGGTATATTTCACAATATCATTGGTACACTCCATAGTACAATCATCAATACCATCAAGTTCCTGTCATATTTTCTATAGTTTTCCAAAATAAGAAATAACAAAACCTTTATTCTAGCAGATAGAAATTACCTCGCAGTGTAGTTGATAGACTTTTGATGCATCCTGGTTTATCGAATATGTCCTTTTTGGCAGCCTCCCATATTTCCTTCGCCGTAGCTAACCGAAGGAAGAAAGATCTGATGTCCTTTGTCATTGCATCAAGGAGCCAAGATTTGACCAAGCAATTTTCATCTTCTCGTGCTTCATATTCCTCCGAATGAACATCTTTTGGTGCAACCTTATTACCTGAAATAAAACCCCAACGCTTCCTCCCACGGATCTTATTTTGAGCGTTCAAAGACCACTCAACATAATTGGTACCATCAAGTCGTCCCGAAGTGATTAGAGAAGAAGTTTCATGCATATGGAATCCATCCAATATGGTAGTAGATTCATTCTTCTTTAGAAAATTATTACTACTTTCTTCTAAATCACCCATAGCGATAAAGATGAAAAAAAAAATCGCAATAGAATGATATGAACAGAAACAACAATTGTGAACATAGGACCAAGCTTCAATTCCTAGGGTAAAAAAGAGGAGATTGAAAGAGGATCTGATACCATGTCAATGAACACAATTGTGGAATAATTTTCTGATAATTTTATTCATTGTAAGTCTACAATATATAGGCTAGATACAAGAACAATTACAAGGAAAGAATAAAAGAATTAATTACAGAATATTAAAGAAAATATCCTATAATTATAAAAGAAATAATATCCTATAATTAAGAATATTGACCATATCAATATCTTAATTATAGGATATTCCAACAGTGTTTTGGTGACAAGGCAAAATGGGAAGTAGTAATGGTGTTTAGAGGTTTGCAAGGTTTGGCTTAAACTCACAAAGAAAACAATGGACTCAAGTCTTCTAAATTACCCAACGATGGTAACAACAAAGCCATCGACGTAGTGTCTCATTAGAAAAAGCCGAAAAAGACTTCTTGAATCTTTAGCGGCATTTTTCAACAAAACGTTGTTGTTGTAGGATTTGTTGTTACAATCGTTGGATAGATAGTCCAACGATCTACCCAACGATGTTGATAGTGTCGTTGGACGCACCACTAGCGACGACAATAAGACTTGCCGCAGGCAATCGTTCAACAACTTCACGCGACCACTTTCGTATCCTTATAATACGTTTTAAATCATTATATTACAAATTAAATATTCTTTTAATATTTTTTTAAAACTTTTTTATAAAGTTTGTACCTTTTTTAAATCTTTTAATATAAAGTTAATACCTTTTTTAATATATTTTTTTAATCTTTTACTATTTTCAAATATTTTAATATAAACTAAATATTTTTTAATATATCTTTAGAATTTCTTAGTTATGCTGAAGAATAAGTTCCTTTTCAAAGATTTAATTCAAGCCTAGCAACCTAACCAAACACTAGTTAACTTTAGCAAATTTTACCATGCGCAAGATTAGTGTAGTGTAGTACACGCAACCAAACACAACCTTAGAGTTTTTTTTTAATAAGTGATCCTTCAGTGCTTTGAGTAAATTACCCCGTTACCCTTGTTACATTAACTGAATTCTGATAGAGTTAAAAGGCAAGGGAGGTTTTTTGTATAATTTTCAAATAAATTGGGGGGAAATGTGATGAGCAGTGCCAAAGTTGGCACGCCCCTGTCAGTTTCCGAAAACACAAGGGTACTAAGTGAAATTATATTTTGATTTATTCTTGCTTTGAAGTATACAAGTGAGAGACACTTAAATCTGTTATTGGACTTCATTTTTGCTCAAGCTAACAAAACCACGTTTCCAAGACACTTAAAGCTACCCAGAAATCATCCATACAGATGGGAAGAAATGATCCAATTATATCATCATTTTCAAATGCTCCATATAAAGGAATTATTCAAGTGAATGAAGGTTCAAACCATATTTTAAAACATATTCATAATTTCATAAGGAGAACAATCCAGTAATGCTTACATTTGACCATATTGTCCGCCATAGTATGCATCTACTGGCGGGGAAAATCCTCTCAACCTTTCAACAAGAAACCTTCAAAAATGGTTGTATAGAGGAAAATATCATGCACACTATATACATGCCGAAATTTATAATACCCTACACTTAGGTCACTTACTCATCTCTTTCTCTTGGCTGCAGCCCCTGAGCCACGCCCAGCTTTCTTATCCATGGATCCAGAATTACCTTTCTTCTCAGAGGATGCAGAGCCACCTTTCCCTCTGCCTGCCGCCTTCTTCTTGGCACTTGAACTTTCACTTCCTTTCAATTCCACTTGTACTTCAATTCCTGGAAAATGTTAGGCACACATTAGAACTAATCAATCATGCACAAATCACACAATTACTCCAATATTTTTAGGCATGTCTATGTCGGCTAATGTTACTAACCTTTTGAATTCAGACTTTGCAATTCCTTCTGCATCTTCTCACCATTTCCTGCATCTAATGGCATGAAAAAATACAAGTCAAGACAAACCAGAAAAACACGAGAAAGGCTCTTTCCTACAGTATGTCACAGTAAATTTCTTTTAAAGAAAAGAATGGATTCTATCTCCTTAAGGCACTTTTTTTTTTTTTTTTGGGGGGGGGGTTGTTGGGGGGTGGGTGTGGCAAAAATTACAGTTGTCTGACTAGAATATAAGTGAACACGCAGATCCTAAAATGCCTGGTTCAATGTTTTACACAGTACAGAATGTCATATTCCAGCACAGCCTCTACAACTCAAAATTGGTATACTTACTTATAACAAGGCATTCTATATGATGCTCACAATTAACTAAAAAACCATTTCAAGTTTTGGACTGAATTAAATGGCCATGAAATTTGAAACTTTTTACTAAATGACCATTCGCTTAAGCAATATAGGTTTATCTATAAACTATCGCTTAAGCGATATGTGTTAAATCGCTTAAGCGATAAAGTTCATGGCCATTTAATTAATTTCAAACTTGAGATGGTGTTTTAATAGTCAACCCTCACAATTCCTCCCATTCCCTAATGAACTATATGATTGAAATTTCCCCTGTAGTCCCTACCTCAATATGCCACAATTGGACGGAAGTCCCAACCTTTCTGTCAAAAGGAAATGTAAATATTCTATTCACAATGTACTGGTTACATGGTAAGCCATTTTTTTTTTTTTTTTTCGTAGGAGGTCGGTACCAAAGATGACAGTGACTGTCTGTGGTCTGGATATTTGGATGGCAGTAAAATTTTGAGGTGCAATCCACCCATCGCTATTCTTTAGTTAGTCATATATGCCAAAGACACAACCAAACATGTTTGTTTGTGTGGCCTTCATTCCCTCAAGGGATGATTGTGGTTTTGTTAACGAGGTAAACTGGCCCACGTTTGTATCTGTTCCTCTACAGTACTACAAATCTTTTGTTTCTTTTCTTTGAAGGAAAATTTAAAAATTCCTCAAATTGGAAAACTTAAAGACACAATGCAGCACTATAACAGTAAACAATCTGATGGCAAACCAATTGAAACTTATAGCTGGACAATTTTACCTGGGTCCTCTGTGTCTGAAGAATTTTCTTCTTCACTATCAGCCAACATACCACCATTCTCCTCTCCAATTCCTTCATCAGATGGTTCCAGAATTGCAGCAATCCGCTTCTTAGGTGCCTTCTTTCCAGGAAGTGTGACTAGATCTGCAGCTCTTACCATCCGCAATTTGCTATCTTCTTTATATGCTCTAGTCAAAGCAGCTTTGACAGCCGGTGGAATGCCTTCCAGCGGATTTCCATGCCCCTAATGCACAGAATACCATAAAATATTTTAAAAGTTTACATGCAGCTGTAAATGAAGCACAAAAGGGTACCTGAAATTTTGATAGCTCCACAATAGTATCAAAGTCCTCCTGGCTTATTGAGTAAACATTCATAAAATCCACAACCTTCTTAACAGCTTCATCCTGGTAAATCATACATGACACCAAAAGAACAATCACACATCATTACTGGCAGACATTCAAGGTAACAGATGCAAAAGGTCCCTTCAATATAGTGCTCACTCAAGTACTGCCCAAAATGAACAGCTGTAGAAAGGTTCTCACCATAAGGTAATCACCAAGCGAGAGAATATATGTATATTGTGATATTTTACATCAATGTTTGTCTCCAATCATGCATGCAATTCCTTAGAAATTATAAACTAAGACCACACAAAGAATCAGTAAACTACGCTTGGGCCTCGTTTGGATTGAAGGATTCTAAATAATTGATTTCATTAAATTCATGAATTTAGTAAAATCTTTTGTTTGGGTTTAGAAAAGAGTTTAAATCCATGGATTTTAGAAAATCCACCACCCTCCAGAATCTTTTATTTTTTAGGGTTTTAAAATCCCACCTAGTAGGAGAGATTTTGCCAAATCCATCAATTTTAATAATATAAGAAATTTTGTTAATACTTTAATTTTCTAATACTATCCTTGTTAATAATTTAATAGCCCAACAATTATCTTTTACCTTAATTAAAAGAAATATATTTGTTGTTCTCACTTTTTTAGCACTTCACCTTTGCATCATCAACATTTTTACAGCAGACGAGAGAAATAATCTAGATGTGAGTTTCTATTCCTTTAATTAATTATTTTCAATTTCTTATTTGCAAAAAGCTTTTTTATTATTTCATTTTCTTAGTTGATAATATATTATATTAACTTGGAGTTTTTTTTTTTTTTTTTTCACCAAATCACAAAAAATCATCAATTATAATTTAACTTGTATTTAACTAGATGAAAGTTGAATTTTTGTTGGTTTTGGATATTGAGGGTAATGTTAGAAATTATTTATCAAATCTATGGATTGTATTCATCTAACCAAACATGAGTGCATGGAAATTTGAATCAACAATCCATGGATTTTATATTTAAACCAAACAATGGAATTTATCAAATACATGGATTTTGAATCCATGGATTGTACAAAATCCATGGATTTTAAAATCCCTCTATCCAAATGAGGCCTTAATGGTAAGAAAAGTTTCATATCAACAAGTCCTGATCAACAAAAATAAGAGAGAAAGTGAACAAATGGAGGACAATAAAAAAGAAAATGTGCAAAACTGGAAAACACTGAACAGTGAAGCTGTTGAAAAGGAAGGAAATGATGCAAAGCTTTGGATCAAGAAATAGGTGCCGAGCAACAAAACTCCAATAATCCTGAAAGGTGGGTAATGGTACGACACTTGGTTCCAGCTAAGACGTAAAAGGTTTAAATCCTCCTGACACTACCAAACCTAGGATATCATATCCCATAGGACTAAAAGTTATAGGGTCCAACGGTAATTCCCAGTTTCAAACCCATTGCAAATCCAAGTGAGCCCTAGGGTTTTCTAGATATCAAATACATAAAACAAAATTCCAATAATAGAGGAAAAATAAAACGAAATATTTTGACTTTTGATATAACTGTGCACACAGCCCAAAAAGCAGGTGCCTTCAGCACAACAAACCTCAGGGCTCGGGCATTATTTTGGTACTGAACTGTCTTTCGTATACATGCAAATGACTGACTTGCCTTTGGCTACACTTACAGGTCCAAAATATTTATTATGCACAAAAAGATCACATCTAACCTTAGGCATCTCACGCAGTGGATCAGTTAATTGTTTCAAAAGGAGAGTAAGATACTCAAGTCGAAGTGTCTCCCTGCACCATAAACAATAAAACAATGATTAAGCAACTTAAGGAGGAGATGCAACAGAGATGAAACAATCCCATTATAGTTGACAGAAGGAACTAACTAGAGACCAAGCACTTCAATACTGACAGTGTACAGAAGAAATAGGACTCCACGCACTGAAATAACCAGGAATATAAGATATTGAATAAGAATTACCTTCCCGAATTAGATTCACGAGAAGCAAGAAGATGAACATGCAAATCTTCCAAAAGCCTCAAATTTTTACCCGTTGTTGAATTCTTTCCCAGCCACCCACCAAATCTGTTAAAATTCCTTTCTCCCTGAAGACATGAGGCCAGATTGTAACTGTAAGAATATATCTATTCCAACAAATAGCATTTTCATCTTTTACTAATCTATAGTGTGTACAGAAGAAATTTCATCAAACTTAATGTGCTCAAAACATGTCTTTTATTGACAGAAATATAACATATCCACTTGCAAACAAAGGCGACATGCAAAGTATAACATAGACTCAAATGATACTAAATTAATTTCACGTAATACATGACAATTTGGAATAGAGGAAAGATCTAAGATAGTGAAACTTTCATTGATAAAAACAAAATAGGAAAAATAAATAAATATAAGAAGGCCAAAGAGATAGAAAGTGCAGATCTCCCTCATTAAGAAACCAACATTTCTTCATCATGATAACAAAAATTTTGTAACCTTCATAATTGACATATGTATTACCTGTTCAAGCGTCTCCCTTTGTCCATGCAACAAAGCAGCACTGATTAAAATAAAAAAATATATCAAGAAAGAGAATACTAAGAATAAGAATACAAATAAACCTCACTTAACCCGAATGAAAATCATGTAAAATATTTCCAACATTTTTAGCTGCTGAAATACGTACGGAATGATACAAGATGCAAGACAACCAGTTTGAGAGAGCTGCCACTGTCGATATCTTCGAATTTGCACATTAACTATATCCCCATCGCCAATAGACTCAGCAGCACGGGCAATCAAGCTCATTCGCTTCATTTCATCCTTACCACCTGAACTTGGCCTATAATTAATATAATTTTCCTGCAAATTTATTTTTAAAAGATTTCATGTAAAGCATTATGGCAAAACAAATATTTGAAATTCGAATTATGCTACATCACTAAAGGGTACAAGTATCCAACAAATCAGCAATTACACTCATAGAGAAAGACATAGAACCTATAATAACAAAACGACTTAGCTGTTTCATGCATAAATAATAACAGAAGAAAGTCACAAGAGTTCAACAAGCAACTTTCACAGGAATGTTTTTAACTATTCTACTTCCTGGATTCTTGAACACCACAATCAGTATGAAAGAGACAATCTTAGAGTTCGTCAAAAGATAGTTACCATAAATCATACACATGAAAATAGTTTCCACAAAAAAAATAAATAAATAAATAAAATAAAAGAAGGATAAACTTCTATATTTTTCAATATCTTTACTATGAATTATCCAAGCCTCATGGATATTTGACTTTTAAATTAGCTGTTATTGAAAAAAAAAAAAAGTTCAATCAATCCAAGAAAATTGTTAAACTAGAGACTTGGTGTCTAACCTACTAAATAGATTAGCATAAATGTCCATCACGAATAACATGGTGAAGTCATTGTTTTATAGGAAACATAGTGAGGTCATTTTCATCTTACAATAGCACCATTGTGAATTTACCCAAAAAAAAAAAAAAAAAAAAAAAAAATTTGAAAAACTGTAGGATTTAACAAGATCTCCCAGCAAGATCTAAAATTCTCTTGAATTTTGGTAATAGGATTTCTAGACACAGCAGATAAGAACCTGAATAAGTAGAGGGACTAGGTCTGGATCACTCATGCTCAGGTCAATCCGCTCGTCCATTCTCAACCTTCCCCCATTAAAGCCAAACAGCCTACAACCACAGACATTATTAGTACAGCAATAGAATGAAATATTTAATGTCCATGGCTGATGGACCAGATATCATCCAGAGGTACACACAAACAAATATCTTTGCCTATGCCCTTTACGTTTTAATTTAGTTGCAAAAGAAAAAGTGATTGACATTAATCATCCACACCACAGAATTTAGAAGCATACAAAATATAATCAACAAAACATGCACTAGAATTGCACTTTGTATGATGAATCAGTGGCAAAAAGTCAAAGCATATAAAAGTACTTAAATAAACTAAATGATAAGTTAAGAGTACCGGGTAAAACTTCATAATTATAAAAGCAGAAACCCCAAAATTATGGTATCCATGATGAAACTAATAGAAATTAGGGACAAGATTATGATCAATGATATCACTATATAGTAATAAGAAGAGCAATATTTAACATGATTAAATAATGAGATTAAACACTATACACTCACAACAACTTTTAAGAAGATATAAGCAGGGAGTTGAGAGGAGATTGACAATAAAGTTCACTTAAATGAACAGCCTCAAACATTGTTACAAGCAAGCCATAGCAATAAAAATAAAAAAGGAAAAAAGAAAAGTATAGTGCTCATACTTATCAACAGCTGCAAATGGTGAAATATCTTCATCCTTGGCACTACTAAGAAGGCGCTGTCTTATGTCATCATACTTGATGTTTGACATGGAGAGACTCATATACTGCAGTTGGTTTATGGCCATGCGCATATCTCCATTCACTCTCTCTGCAAGTTCCTCGAGAGCAATCTGAAAGTCAAAAGTTAAATATGAATGATTGCATGATGAAAGAGCTTAATGAGTAGGAGTAATTGCATTGATTACAGGAATTTGTTGTAATTCTAAAAGCAAAAGCACATTGAACAAATAAGAGTAAAATTTAAAATTAAAATTGAAAAGAAAAAAGAAACAAAATGCCTACAATTATTTACTTGATTGGTTCTAACTCTCCTGACCCTTAAGCATAATCAACAGGTAACCACCCAAAGAAACAATAACCAAAACAAATAAATGACTGAGGTCAATGGATGCAATCTTGGACAAATTTCTGTAGGCTTTCTCTACTCTGCAGTAAATTGTTGACCAACTTCAAAATAACCACTAGCATTCTGTTTTCTTTTCAGATACCAACTCTTTGCATCTAGATGATAAAAGGCTAAAGTGCCATGAAAAGAGTGTAAAGTGTAAAATGAATACATTCCCATGGAGCATCACAAATCTAGTATAAATACAAATCCAAGTTTAAAAAGAAAAATGAGGTATCTTGCAAAAGATTTCCAAGATACCTCATTTTTCTTTACTTATCATAACTGCTAGGGTTTTTGAGTTGATGTGTTCAACTTTTTTGTGGCTTCATGGGCTGTTCTTATCTTTCTATTTTTGGGTGTTCATATCGCTCAGGTTACTCAAGGTTTTTAAGATTTTTTGTAAGGATCGAGCACTCTTTGTATTGGACCCCTGATCCACCATTGTAACTTTTTCTTTCAGTTTTAAAATTCTTGGTCCTTCCTAAGAATAAAATAAATAAATAAAACAAAATCATTAACAGAGCATTTACCTCATTAACCTGAAGACCTTCAGCATTCGCAATTTGCATTAACCTCTTAGCCATCTACCATGCAACAAATTCCATGTTAGAAACCCTATATTAAGAACAGGTTGTCCAGCAATCAAAGTAAACAGTCTGAATCTAGAGCCACAAATGTTCAAATTTGATTTATCCAAACTCAAGCCTGGGATCCATGCACAAGTAGACATATACATAAAAACTTAACGTACAAACATGCTGTATAAACATAGGTTTGTATGCAAGGGAAAAGGAAGTATCTGTCTCTATCTCTGTTCAATGGGTTAGAAGAGATTCTAGAGGATGCATAAAGACAAATTTGTGTGTGTAAAGGAAAAACATCATTACACTGAACGGGCAACATGAGATTAGCTGGAAAAAAAATACTAAATGATATTTACAGAAAACAAAATAAATATGTTCAAGAAATGAACAAAATCTCCAGAAAGTAATCACTGGAAAGCTAAACCCATAAAATCTACTCCTTGAATCATCTACGCAACTGACCCCAATATGTTCTGTTGTCTTAATTATTTGTTAAAACCCAAATAAATGGCAATCATACACTGTTCTGGTCAGTGAATTACATCTCAATATCTAGTAATCACCCAAAAACATGATTTTCCTCTTCAAGAGTAAATATAAAAGCAAATAAACCTAGAACTTCCACTGATTCTTGAAAGTAAACACAAAAAAGGACCATCAGGCTTTTGTTTTGTACTAGTTCAAAACAGGTATCTCCAGACTAGGTAGAATTGAGGAGAGGTGTACTGTTCATCCTACATTTCTTTGAGGCAGACTAATCACAATGTTATCAGTGCTGAATATCTCAAAGGCTAAAATCTTCCAAACATTACAAAAAACAAAAAGCATGATGATAGCATACATGAAAGGCACACCTGAATTGTGAACTGGACAGTTTCACACATAGTACCAATAATACAACAGAGAGTAACAGAAACAAAGCATAAACAACCACTTAAAATAAAATAAAAGAAGAAAGGAATGAAACATTATGATAAAGACTAACCTGTTGTTTTGTAGGTTTCCGAAAACTGAGAAGCAAGCAATAGTTTACAAGACTTTTAAGTTTCTGACTGTAGCGGTCATTACATATGCAGATAATAGGAATTTTGGAGATCTTTATGCTAGCAATAAGATCAGCAACTCCACCTCTATCTCCAGCTGACATTCCATCAACCTCATCCATAATCAGCACAGCTTTTGGATGCTTGGAACTGCAAATTTCGATTGAAAATTAACTTGAGTGAGCAAAAGAAATTCCTTGTACGTTTATCTAACTATTGCAAGATACAGTAAGAATACAGAACAAACCGATCCATTTTAGAATTCAATGCCTCGTTGCTGACAAGTTCCTTGACAGAATTCGCATTGCTTCCACCAATTCCCTTTGAAATTTTGGAATCAGCCTTCCCACGGCTATCACTAGCATTAACCTTGAGATTATTGGGATACACAGACCAGAAAAACAGATAGTTAATAACACAAGTATTGAGTGATACAATATAGTAATAAGCTAATAACCGAGATGCTCTGGTAATAAAACTTTTTTTTTTTTTTTTCCAAATATAAGCCACCTCAATTGCCTGGAAACCCAGCATCTGAGTAACCAACTTTGCTGATGTTGTTTTTCCCATACCAGGTGCTCCACTTAAAAGCACGGCCTTTTTGGCACTAGGATCAATTTTCTTCTTTCCATTTTGCTTAGTTCCACTACCAAGAAATTGTTCATTCCAATGTGCCAACCAATTACGAAGCTGATTAACCTGAAAATTTTACAAAGAAAATCATTATCCCAATGCTTCTGCATATATTACAAGGAAATAATTCCAATGCTTCTCCATAATGTAATAAGTAATATAGATAAAATTGTAATAGCTAATGCAACTGCAGAAATTGGCCAATAACACATTTGTACCAGTGACTGATTCCCGACAATGTCATTCGGAACCTTTGGCCTATGCTTTTCTGTCCATGTCAACGAAGAATCCTGGATATTTTGCTTTTTCTTCTTTACAGGAGAAGCACATGAGATTGTACTTTCACAGGCTACCTTTGTTGCCGAAGAGTTGCCTATTCAATCAACCAAATTGTTTGTTTAAACTACTGAGGCAATCTCACACCAGAAACAATACAACTGATAACTAATTATGAACATCAAATCCATTTCAAAGCATCCTAAGCTCATGTTTTGAACTTAAACCAATCAGCAGAGAAGTTATACATTGTTCAAAGTCACCACATTTATTAATTGTTAAATAAAAGGTAGAAGCCAAGTCATAGCATGGGTCAGAGAAAAACATGATAGTACCATAACCACTCACCCCCTCCTATCAAATAAATTATCTGCAGTATTCCCTTTAAGGACTATACCTGCAAATATATCTGAATTTTTCCAGGTGAAGTCTAACATAACAACAAAAATTAAGAATTTTACTACTGAAATTACCCACCTAATAAAAACATATAAACTACAAAAGCTACATGTACTAAGAAGAATATCAACGGATTGTCATATACAAGACCACACTCTTCGAAGTAAAGTGAGAAACCGCATTAAGAAAATGCTATATTGGTGCTTAAACAACACCTTAACATACATTTCGAAATAAATCTTCAATTAACTGTCTATCATCATTTCGTGTCACTCATTTTCCAAAACAACTATGAAAAATGGAAAAAAAAAAAACATTTTCTTAAATAAACATCAAATGCCAATTTACTGCCCAACTAACAAAAGAAGTAAGAAAAAAGAACTCATATTCCCAAAAACACAGGATTTTTCAATGTAAGCAACAATACCATGTGTCTCACTCACCTCACCAGAGCATTGAACAACAATCAGATGATACATAACACTAGACTTACCGTGCAATTCAGAGCAGCAGAATAAACAAGTATGAAACAACAAAGTTTGGACACAAGAATTAGAAAATAAAACCAAAAAGAAAACCTTAACAGATATTAGATGTTGAAGTGATAGAATACAAACACATAGCTATACAGTGCTTACTTTTCACTTCGACTTTTTGGGGACTTCGCTTGAGGGGCAGAGATGTAGCAACGTTCTCCACTGATTTCTTTGAATCATCTTGTGCAAGTGCTTTTGCTGGATTTGATGCATGGATCATATCAAACAATCCATCCTCCGTAAGGAAAGCAGTACTACATATAGAAAATAAAGCAAGACATCTAAGAAATAAAGAAATCCACAATTCAAAAGAAAAAGTTGTGTTCAGAGATGGCAAACCCAAGCTCTTTGGCTTTAGTTGATTTCACTCCCCCAATATCTTCATCGCATAAAAGATAATTCTGCAAGCAGAAGATGTTAAACACATGCCAACACAGCTATAAATCCAAACAAATGAAGACTGAAGTATGGAAAGACCGTTTTCTTGCTGACTGATCCAGTAACACGTCCCCCATGGCGTTTAATCAAATCTTCAGCCTCTTCCCTTTCCAAACTGTAAGTAGATCAAAATTAAATGCAGTCTCCAGCTGAAGGAAATTTTAAGCTAGACACAACACTAAGACTCAACCCAATAAAATAATTTAAATATTATCACAAAGAGCAGAGTTAATACAAACCCAAAAGCTTCCTGAAAAATTATTAAGAAAAGCATATGCCCCTAGAATTCCCTATACACTTACAAGATTAAGCACATGAAAAGCCACATAAAGATAAGACAACATACCTGTCAAGTGTTCCACTAATTACAAAAGTCAAACCAGCTAAGCAGTCAGGAGCACCTTCAGGGACTTCCTGACACAGGAAAAAAAATGTTAATATTGAGAGTAAAACAATTATTCTAATTAATCAATGCAAAAACTCCAAGCAGCGTCCACCTTTTCTCCTTTGTGTGGAGGATCTTTCCTTTCCCCGAAATTCATAATTCCACCTTGTCCACCACCTCTGCCTCTTCCAATAGCTGGTGTCCCTGATGCTCTACCACCACGACCCCTTCCACTGGGCTTAACAGGAGGCTCTAAATCTTTAACATTATCCTCATCACCATCATCAACACATACAGATTTCTGTGCAACTCCCCTACCTGAACTAGACTTCAATTTCTTTCTGGGAGTGACACTAGAGCCCCTCTTCTCATTCGGCAAGACAAAGTCATCATCATTGTCATCAACTTTCTGAATTTTCCTTGATCGTGGAGATTTACGGGAATCATCAATATCATTTTGTGTTTTCCTCTTAGCTGGAAGTTCCGCTTTTCCTTTTTCATCATCTAGCTTTTGTTTCTCAGCAGTAAAATACTTGCTAGTTTTTCTTCTACCTGAACCTTCTTTGCCTCCACGAAACTGGATTAATCCAATGAAAAATATATAGTAAATAAATATCAACGTAGTCAAATTTGACTCTATTGAAATAGTAAATCATTGACACATTCTATGATATTTAAATACGTATTCAAATCCTCAGTTTCTGTTCCTTAATAGCAAAACTTTATTCAACAAGACTAAAATTCCATGGAGTTTTCAACAATACTCCATTTTCTTTATACTCTTCTAGGTTGAAATCAAAAGATTTAAAAAAATTGAAAATTAACATTTAGATGTCTCCCTTTTTCCATTTGCATTCATTGTTTTATATTCCAACATCATAATTCTGAAACTGATTGGAAAAAAGCCTGACAGCCAAATAACCTATTTAGCTCTAGTCGAGAGTTGAGTTGAGTTTGTCACCTACAACGATAAGAATGTTTTCAAGTGTAACAATTAACACCCTAAAACCAGATGTCAAATCTATATTAAACCCTAAAGCAACCAAAAACACAAACATACACATATATCACACATATATCTGTATCCCATTTATATAAGAGAAAACACTCACGGGCTCTGAATTCATTGGCTCTGAATTGCTTGGTGCAGAATTTGCAGAGATTGAGCCATTGCCATTGCCTTTGTCTTTGTCATGTGGTTTAAGAAACCACTTCCTAATATCTTGCGGCTGTAAATCAGATAAAGCCTAGTATGTCAAACATAATATTTTAGACGCAACGCCTTCTTTTAATTCTCATTAATAAAGAAAAATAAAATACTTTAAATTCCTCTAATTTTACCAAGCCGCAAAAAAAGAAAAGGCTAACAAATTTAAAATGCACATAAAACACTGACTCTCTACTTGGTTCCTGTAAATAAAAATAAATATGGCTACCTTAAACAAAACTATAGAGTTTCTTTTATCTCTTTTTTCGGATAGGAAACAAGAAGTTTGATTGTCAGTGACTGTTTAGGGTTTTTCAGTTTTGGAACATTTGCCTTGTTATTTTCCAAAGCAACAAATGCAACAGCATCAATCAAATAAGATTATACTGTATGAAAACCCTAACGCTAACCCTCAACCATCTTTATAGAAGGAATCTATAACATTTAAAAAAATAAATACTTTAAAAACACGATTTCCTTTCTTAGACAATAGAATTCTGTTTGAATTTTCTCTAACTTTCCCAATAACCAAAAAAGAAATCGAGAAAAAAATAAAGAAAAATTTACAACAGGAAACATATAAACCCTTACCATCTCTAAACTTCGCACGAAACCAAAGATGCAATGACTAAAAGTTTTCGCTGATTTCGCCTCGAAAACACAATCTGGACAGCAATAAAAGCAGCTTGTAAGTAACAAAAATTCAAAATTTCTAACAATGTGCACAAGATTATCACTTTAATTTAATATTATATAATTCACGGCCCAAAAAAAAAATAAATAAATAAGATGGAAGAAAAACAACTTCCAGTACTGCGGGCTACGACGAACGGGTAATGGGCTTTGCACAAATAGGTAATAGATTAAGAACCGGCGGTGGTAACGGGAGGCTGGTCGCAGTGAGTCACTGAGTTTTGTTTTCTGAACTTTCAGTTTTTTTTTTTTTCTGGGCGCTGAGAGGACTTATTATACGCATTACTAATATAGGGGATTTTACATCTACACCCATAAGGCATAATTTTGATACGGACCAAAAGGTACATTACATGACCGAATAACATTTTCCCACTCCATCTATCACGTTCATAATTTTCTACCCCTGGTTTGAATATCATCAACATTCTACCATGTTTAGACTCCGTTCACTTGAATTTGAGGTTGACTGGCTTTGACCAATAAAATACACCTATGTTGCCTAAATTAAGACCAACTAACATTTTGTCCCCAAACTATCATAAAAACACAATTTTCCCCTTTGGTTAGTGGTTACAAAAACACACAACGTCAAACTCATTTTAAAATTCAACCATTTGACTTTAACGAGATAAGGATATTCTCGTTATTTTACAACTATTAAATCATTATACAACCAAAATTATCCTATTCAAAACCCAAATCTCTCCTTAACTTTCACAAACACGGTGTGTTTGGTAAGGGCTCTGGTAAGATAACTCCGATAATCTATTTTTAATTCCAGACATTTCCTTATTTGATTGTCAAGTAATAAAATATTTCGATAATTTTTTAATACCAATAGTGATTAATGTTGGTTAATTAGGGGGTAATTAGATTACCACCTCAAGGGATGGTATTTAAAGATTACCAAGGTAATCTTAATTTTATACCCATTTTGCCCTTAATTAAACACTATTTTGAACATAATTGTCCTCAAATGTCTACCAAATAACAATCACCCAGACCCCTATATTTGAGAATTTAGCTAAAACATCTCAGCCATAAAAAGTTTAAACATTAATAGAATATCCTCAGCCACCGAAGACCACCGTCGACCACCAGCCATCGGCAATAGTCACCAAATTGACACACGACTAATGGGATCTAGCTGGCTGTGCACCGATCTGGCTGTTGCCAACCAGATTGAAGGTCGAAAACGGCCAGATTGTCATGGATCTGGCTAGAAATGGACAGAATAGATCTGATTGTTTTTTACCAGATCCACGACGATCTAGCTATTTTCGGCCTTCGATTTGGTTGAAAACATCCAGATCGGTGTGGATCCGGTAGTTTTCGGAGTGATCTAGCTATTTTCGGCCTTTGATCTGGCCGAAAACAACCAAAACAGCGCATGGCCAGCCTGATCTCACCGGTCGTGCACCGTTTTAGTGACTGACACCGGTGGTCGACAGTGATCTTGGGTGACTGGAGGTATTTTGTTAAAATTTAAACTTTGTTGTTAGGGTGTTTTAGCTGAATTCTCAAATATAAGGGGTTAAAAAGAATTTATTTAAATAATAATAATAATAATAATAATAATTATTATTATTATTATTATTATTATTATTATGATATTAAAAAGAAATGGAAATTCAATAAAAGCTTCTGTCGATAATATTTTATTTTTCCCAAGAATCTCAACCAAACATTTTAATTATTTATACCCACTAATCTAACCAAATATATTCATATAATATTCTTCGTAATCTTCAAGGTAATTTATCTCGGTGGTAATCTTACTTTTTCAATAATAAAATATTTCCCAAACCAGACGTACCCAAAGGGTTAACCGAAACCCCACAAAACAGTTGATAGACTTAAGACATACTTAACAGGCCAAGGGTAAAAACGTATCTTTCTAAAAAAATAATTATGGAAAAAAATAAAAAATACAATGGTTCCATTACAAAATTTAACAAAAACCGGTAATCTTCTCTTCCCTTTTTCTCTATAATTCCGTAATCCCAAGAACGAATTCTTATTTTCCTCCTAATATTTTCTCTATCAAATATCTTCAAATTCATCCTCTTATTATTTTTTTTTATCTGATTCCGTTATTCAAATCTGGTAAAATCTTTCCAGTATACTTGGATCCTAAACCATAAAAGCAACTCTAATTTATGAAATTAATTAGGCAAATATAAATTGTTGATGTATGAACTGACTTGTGCTTGTCTTCAAATCTTAACGTTTTTCTAATCCAAATTATATATAGAAAATGATATTTTAAACAGTTCCGAAATAAAAACTTGAGACAAGCACTACTAAGGAGTAATATATGAGGTGCCACTTATTGAATTTTTTTTGTCTGAATAATCCTATTTTGATTACGTGATATCTTAGGTTGCATGTGTAATTATGGTGCATATGCAGGACATCCTAAAGAAAGCAAGACGTTAAAACGAGGAAAATGGACACGCAATATAAAGAAAATAGGGATTGCAAAAATAATAGAGACAGATTAGAACTCTAAAGGAGGCGTTTGGTTGGGGGTTATATAAGATTATTGGGGTTATAACATCTTATATTACTTTATTACCACGTTTGGTTGTTGAGTAATATAAGATTCTATTAATTTTTCAATACCAATAATAGTTACTATTAGTAATATTAGAGGTAATTTAATAAATTTCATTTTCTTAGGTATTGTAAGATTACTTAGTTATTTTATTTTTGTTACAATTTTATCCCTTATTAATAAAAATTTTGGACAATAATACCCTTATTTTAAAATCAATTTACATTAATCTAGCTTTTACAATTTTACCCTTGTTTAATTAAGTTTTTAGACAAAATTACCCTTGAATTCAAAACAAATTGCAAACCACCATTGCCACCCAACCCCACCACTACTGAAAGTCGTCGGGAGGCTTTGATATGACCCCTTTTGGCCATATTGATGGCCAAAAACGGCCATATCGAAGTAGATATGGCTAGAAATGGCCAGATCTATTCTCGCCGTTTTCGGCCAAATCCATGGCTGTTAATGGCCATATCTCACAGATTTATTTTGGCTGGAATAGATCTGGCTGTTAACGTCCATATCTCTCCTAGATATGGTCATTAAAGGCCATAGATCTGGCTGAAAATGGATAGAATAAATTTGGCCATTTTCGGCCAGATCTACTTCGATATGGCCATTTTCGACCATCAATATGGCCAAAAACAACCTTATCGAAGCCTCCTGACAATTCTTGGTGACTTTCGACGATTTTCAACGACTTTCGGCTACTTCCGACAACAAATGGCGATGGTGGGTAGTGGCTTAGAGTGGTGGGGAGATTTTGTTTTAAATTGAAGTTTTATATAAGCGGGGGTCTTTTAGCTAAATCTGAAATGTTAGTGGTTAAAAAAAATTATTTAAAAATTAATAATAAAGATAATATCATATTAATATTTAAAAAGAGGACAATTTAGTAATTTAAATACATACTTACCAATTTATTCCAACTAACCAAACATATTTTCCTAAAGATTCTCAATAATCTTCAAGGTAGTCTAACTTTCCATTAATATAACATTACTAGTAATCCAACATTCCTTGAATCAAGCACACCCTAAGAGTGTATTTGGTTGGGGGTTAGTAATATAAGAGGTAAATCTGATTACCTCCATTTTCTTAGGTATTTTAAGATTATTTTGTAATATTATTTTTGTTACAATTTTACCCCTAACTATTAAAATATTTGAACAATAATACCCTTATTTTAAAAACAATTTACAAAAATACTAATGGACTATTTTATTCTTATATAAAAAAAAAAATAGCACATAAATACTTCTAGACTTTAAAAAATTACCCAAGGGTGGTGGCTGGATTTGGCCACCATCGTCGACAATCGACTGCCGAACGATGACGCGGGACCAGCCTGGGTCTGGCTAACCGTGCATCGATCTGGCCATTATCGATTAGATCTCTAGTCGAAAACTGCCAAATCACTGTAGATCTAGCTGGAAATAGACAAATCTACGGCTTCTGGTCTTCATTAACGACTAGTTCTAGCCGTAGATCTGACCATTTTCGACGCACAGCTGGCCAATCATGCCCCGTTTCAGTCACTTTCGTCGCTACGAACAGTGGTGACAAGCGGTTGGCAGTGACTTGGGGTGGCTAGGGGTGTTTTTGTTTAATTTTAAACTTTTTTTTTGTGGGGTGTTTTAGTAATATCTCAAACGTAGGGGGTTAAAAGAATTATTTAAAAAATAATATCATATTAATATTTAAAAATGAGAGCAATTTAATAAATTATATAACATACCTACAAATTTATTTCTCTCAACCAAACATATTAATATAACATACCCACCAATTTATTCCAACCAACCAAACATATTTCCCTAAATATTCCCAATAATCTTCAAATTAATTTATATTTTCATTAATATAACATTCTCTAAACAAAACACACCCTAAAGCTATTTGCTCTATTATTTTCTCCTATCATTCAAAAAATCTTAAACCCAAACCAACAAATTCTTTCAATTTGTTCCGTATTCAAAATCTCAATACCAACAAACAACCATTACTCAGAATAACACTGCAAATCCATTAAAAGAATTAAAAATTAAAAAGAAGAGGAAGAAAAGAAATTAAATTTAAAAAAAAAAAAAAGTAAAATCTCTCATAGGAGGGCTACTTGCTTGTTTGAGGCAGCAGCGATAGTAAGGTAAACTATATATGTATGAGTGGGGAGGGGATGAAGTGGAGAATTCATGACGGGGAGGGGAGGGAAGCAAGGGATGTGGAAAAAGTTCAGGTGGGGTGATGGGTTAATTTTCTTTTGTTTTTGTTTTTTTTTTAATGTTTATTTTATACTTAATTTTAAATAATTAAGGATAAAATAGACTTTCCATACTTAAAAACATTTTATTGTTGATTTTGTGGGTTCAACCTAACAATCTTCGTTGATGCTTGATTTTGACACCAGCGACCTCACACGTGCAAAGTGCTAAGCAACTCTTAAAAATTACACGTGAATAATTTGAGAATTAAGTTAAGGTCACAATAGCATGCAAAGACTTAATATTAAATGAGACAGTGAGAATTTTATAGTGGTTCGGATGCTTAAAGCGATTCCTACATCCACTATTTTCTTTTATATGAATGTTCCTGGTTATTAGCCAAGTTACAAGAGGTCGCGAACTGCGAATAGAATAACAAAAGCTTGATATTTAGAGAGAATATTAAGTCAGTCTCTTTCCCATTGGTTGTCTTTGCTATTTGTCTTTATGAAAGTCAAAGATCCCGGTTTTGTGCGGGGGAGTCCCGTATTTATAGCCATCGAGTTCAAGGTAATGATTACGAGTCTACAAGTAGGTAGGTGTCGTGCAAGTCCTTCCTTGCGTCCTATTGGGTGATAATTTAGGAAATATCCTTAAATTATATGGGGCTTGGAAAGGTGTGCAGACCTCATCCATTCACAAACAAAACTTGAGCCTGCTGAGTTGTGACGACGGTATTCTCTCTGTCTTGGGGCGACGTGGCAAATTTTAGACGGCGCAAAGCCTTCCTAAGCTTTGAATGGTGCTCGCTGATGTAAGCTTACGTTAGCCTTGATTTTTTAGGTATAACAGAAGCTTCCCAATTTTTAAGATTCAAGGAGTTGGATTTCGAGAACTTCATGATTATGTTGCGACCTGACTTGTCTTCAAAAATGCTTGCTCGAGCTGAGCGTTGAGTATAATCACATCGTTGCAGATGACCTGAAGTTGTCTGCTTGTTGATTTAACTTCTAAAGTGTTGTCTTGATTTGACTTGCGAACTGAGAGTAGATCGTGAGCTCTATCTTGAGAGTAACACAAGCGACTTGACATGATTGTTTACTAAGATCTATCAACCTGAGCTTAATTTTGTCTTGAGTCATTGGGATGTGTTTTGAACTCTAATTGTCATTCACGACTTGAAAACACTTAGAATATTTCATGGTTGAAAATCCTGAATCATCTTGTTTGGTGTTTGTGTTTGGCATGTTGAATAAATGTCTTTTTTGAACGACCTCTTTAGATGTTATTTGTTGCACTTGACAGTTGGCTTAGTTAATAAAGTAATCTTTATCTGACAGACGTGTCTCTGTAAGCAATAAGTGTCAGCCATGAGCATTAAATATAAGCCATGCTGAAACGATATTCCCTTTTGGTGCATTAAATGCGGATGAAGACGCATTTAATGTGGAGGAGATAATCACGTCGGCGATTGCCATTCTCAATAAAGAGAGGCGCCGGTTGATTTCTACAAGGTGTGGGAATTACTCTTCCCATAGATTGATGACACGTGGACGCGAGAATGCAGTCCCGCCCAAACGTCGCTTATAAAAGAAGCTACAACATCGTCTTCTTTCCTATAGAACCTTAACTTTGCCCTAAGTTTTCAGAAAACCCAAATTTTTTAGAGAGAAAATATAGTTTTCTGACTCCAAAAAAAAAGAAAATTGTTCTTCCTTCACCATTTCATGTGAACCCAACGCTATAACAGAGCACCTATTTCAGGTAGCCAAGAGGCAAAGAAATTGCTTCCTTTTTCCATTTTTCACATTCCTACAAAAATTCTTTCTTTTATAGTCATGGTGGTTATAGGTATCAGGTAGGTTTAGGAAATAAGCATTTCTGGGTAGTGTTCAAAAGAAACACTTGAAGGCTTAAAACTTAGGGTAAAGAGTCTTAGAGGATTGTTTCTAGGAGTTTTTTAGGGGTTTAGAAGCTTGACGGCCATGGTAGGAAACATAGGGTTCTTTTACACGTCCTCTAAGTCATTGTATGAGGTAGATTTTTTAGGGTTTGAGTCTCCCCTAAATGTCATTCTTTTATAGACTCTAAAGCCAATGGAGATCCTTGAAATGAGAACAGCCGGCAGAGAAAGCTCACACCCACTGGGCACCTCAACAGGTCCTGGAAAGGTGATAAGGTCCACTGCTACAATGGACAAAATAAAAAAAGGTGTTACAGTAGTATGCGATTGATGTGGATGTGTATTGAAGGAGGACGTACACTACCCAAGAGCCTCTCGAGGGAATGGCTACGACCTCGGAAGCCATTTTCAAATGTAGAGTAAGAATACCTTTCCACCCCTACATCAGGTCGATTCTCAACCACTTCTAGGTTGCGTCATTCCAGTTGACACTGAACGCATATATGATAGTTGTCGCTATGCATATATCGTTTTGCTAACACAATCTCAAGGAGCCAACAACGCTGGAGGTCGCTTGTGCCTATGTCTTGAAGAAGAGTAAAGATAAGGACTCGTACTACCTCTCCAAACGACCAACGATCAAGGGAGAAATATTTGGCTACCCCAGCAACGTGGGAGTTTATGAAACCAAAATTTTTTTTTTTAAGTACAACGGTATCTGTAAATTTCAGGAACTGGATAGGTTTTTCCCTTTAATTTTCAAGTCGTTTGTCCTTTATACTAAATTCTTTTTCAGAGTACAAGCTAACAATCTCTTTTCTTTGTAGAAAACAAAACGACTAAATTGCAACTGTTGACTGATCGCAGCCGCATCCAAGCATTCAGCCAACTTCTTGATATAGGTCGAGATGTGAAGCTGCTCGTGATGACTGAGAACCTTCAAAAGTACAGATTCTTCCCCCCTAAAGCATACTTAGATGGTTCAGCTTGAAAGTTTTTATTGAATGGAAAAAACCCGTCTTTTACACCGTTAGACTCTTTTTGTTGATCAAGTTCCTCAGTTTTTATTAAAAAAAATTAAAAAAATAAAAAACTCTTTATCCTTTCCTTTTGCAGTCCTTGCTCACCCTGAACATTGCTCACAACAAAACGAAGATAAACTTCAGAGGAAAACTTCATGAAATGAAGAAGGAGATTACCAAATTGAAACAAGCTCTTGTGACTTCAAACGAAGCTACAAGTGATGCATAGCTTCAAGCGAGCACATTTATGGTAGAAAGGGATTCTACTCGGCGAATAATAGAGTTCTAGAAGCAAGAGCTTCAAAAAGGACAACCAAACCGAAGAGCTTCAACTGATAGTAGAGAAGCTTACTAGAGATCTGAGCTCGCGAGAGCAAGATCTTCATCAAAGAGAAAATGAGTTGTAAGAGATCTTGGATCGTGAGAAGGCAATAAAGAAGACTCGAGCTGATCTGTGGGAAAACACAAAGAAGAAAATAAAAGCGAAAGACACAGAACTCGAGATGGCTCATGGGCAAATTACTTTGCTGACTGAGCAGATGAAGCAGCTAATCAACGAGGTGGAAAGGAAAGCCATCATTGGTCACTAGAAGTTATTCATAGTTTGCAAACGAAGAATCCTAACTTAGACGTTTCCAACCTCCCTGAAGATTATCAGGTAACACTTGCATCAATGCAATCTACTGACAAGCAAGAAGATCAAAAGTCCGTCCAAGAGAAAGATCAACAAGAAATAGAAAACCTTGAGGATCAAGCGACCGACCCCAAGGTCGTAGCAACTGAAGTCAAGGATCTTGAAGTTCAAAATAAATGATCAACCTCCCTTTCCTCTGCTCTCGAAGAGCCTCTTTTGTTTCATTTCATTTTCTTTGTAGCTTGTTGGTCGTCCATGTACATATTTTGCTAATATATAAATAAACTTTTTGACCACTTGTGATAACACTTTTATAACTTAAATACTTCACAAAATAAATATAACTTTTCTGATCGTAAAACTTGTAAAACATTGTAAATAATAACATTATTGAAACTTGAGATTATGACACAAATAATTCTTGAATAAGAATGGGAATAATCTTACTCACAATATTTATAAGTAAAATAGATCGCATAAGTTATACAAGAGTTTAGAATTAATGATAATAAGGACGCAAATGTTCAGCATTCCAAGCTTGCAGTACATCAAAACCATTAAGTCTTTTGAGATGAAACGTCCTAGGTCGTATTACCCTAGCGACTCGATATAGAACTTCCCAGTTAGGTCCCAATACCCCTGCGCTTGGTTCTTTTGTACCGAGAAGGACTTCTTTGATCAAAGAAGTCCTTCATCCACCCATATTGACTTTGACAAGCTTTTCTGGCTTCTACCACACTCATCTACACACAAAAATGTGACATAATTATCAAAAAAATGGTTCTTTATGAGATGCTTTTGATTTCGAATGCATACATTTCCAAAGTTAGGAAATAAACAATACATACATTTGCTGCAGTTTTGCACGATACAGTTTGCAAAACTGCAGTGGACTGCAGACTGCAGTTTCGCAAAACTGCAGTGAACTACAGACTGCAGTCCACTGCAGACTTTGTATTGTAGAATGGACTGTTCAATCAAAGGAAAAGCAAACAAGATATTAGTTTCCCAGTAATACTCTGAAAGCTTTTTAATAGAAGTTCAATAATTATGATAACAAATGGAAACAAGGTAAGAGAGAATTCCTTTCAACTATTAGGAGCCTGTTCACACATCACATGCCTTTTACTTTCTTTTCTTCCATCATTACCCTATTCTCATTTTCCAACCACAAACACTTATCTCTCCCTTCTCAAAATGACACAACTGCAGATGCTTCATAAAGTACACCCAGATGAATTATGTTAATTATTGAAGATGTTCACATGTTAATTATTGAAGATGTTCACCTCTTTGCCGAGGAAGCAAAAATTGGAGAAGCCACAAGCAGTCCAACCATAAAAGCAGCCGATAGTACACCATCTTGGAAGTTCTTCAAGTTAAAATCACCCCTGCAAGACCATCGTACAATAAGACAACAAAAAATAAAAGCCAAAAGATTAAAGGTCAAAAAGGCAATCCATCAGTCAGTACAATAAGATTGGTGGTGCACTTCAAATTAAAATGAGCATACACCATAAGCCTATAATATAAGTGTAGGTATATGCTTTATGGGATCTGTTTGTGTACAGACTGCCAACCTTGTCTTGTGGTGATAACTCCCTGTTGCTAAACAGGTGTTATTGCAGATATATAATTGATATGGACATATAGCAAAAACATTTTTGAAATGATAAATAAATATAGAATGACACTCTGTAAGAAAAACTGGAATAGCTGATACAATCTTCTCCCATGACATTACCAGTGAATTTTGAATGCAAAACCTGCCAGTTGCTTTAAAATTCAGTTTAGATGAAAACTTACCATATGGGATAAATGAGATACAAGGATCTATCAACACCAAACAATAACTACAATACATAATAAAAACCAGAAGTAACTCTTAACTGAATCCCGCTAATGGAAGTGCATATTCCTTTGCCATCACACGTCCTGAGACTCCCATTGACACCATTGCTTGCTATCACACCACGATCCACGTAATTTATCATGTTAATCACACAAAACATGAAGAGTAACATGCACCCGAAAAACTAATGAAATGAGCCTTCACTTATTTGAAAAGGAAAAATAATTTTAAGAGGCTGATGTTAACATGAGAACACAAACAACAAACTTATAATTTTAAGAGGCTAATGTTAACATCAGAAAATTCAGAACACAAACAACAAACTTTACTCTAATTGCTGATTATACTCATAAAATGTAGAACATATATTCAATAAAATCCCACCCAATTTCTCTTCCTAAAATTCATAGTTCAATTTACCAATCAAACTTAAAGCTCTACCACTAATTCTACATAAAACTCAACCTAAATGCACAACGTAAGCCCATAAAACATCTATACACTACTCAAAATTCAAACATCTTCATTTCTAATCTGCTCCGTAAACGACCTTAAGAAATTAGAAATTCAATTACTGATATGAAGTCAGTAATAGCTCTCAATTGAACAATTTCCAATGATCTACACGAAATAAGAAAAGTAAACAAACAATTAAACAAAACGAGAGTTCTATCATAGCATGCTTTAAGTTAATTTTCTAGCTAAAGAGCTGTTACTAGAAATGGAAAATAATGAATAATAAAAATAATATAACAATAACAATACCTTTTGGTAGTGAACCATGACGGGTTTGGAGAGGAGTCTTTGGATAAAGTCGTGGCCATTTGAGAGAGGAGTTGTGATTCTTGTTGTGTGGGATTGTTTAGAAAAAGAAGAAGAAGAAATATAGGTTACTTGGGCAATGGAGGTGGGGTAAAATTGGGAAAAGGAGAAGAAGAGGAGGGAGGGTTTTTGTGCGAACAGAGGGGCTTGACTACTTTCCAAACCCTGAATAATTTAGCGGCAGACAATTCGTCACTTCCCAAGTTTGAGTGAAGATTCAAACCCTAAACTTGAGTGAAGATGAATTTCGCACTTTGAAGATGAAACAGCAAGAACATTTCGCACTGTGAAGATGAAACAGCAAGAACAGTTCGCCCTTTGAAGAAATTTGAGTGAAGATTGCGAAAATCTTAACTGAGAGAAGAAGGTTTGAAGAAGACAACTTAATTGAGAGAAAGAAGAAGATTTGCAGAAGACGAGTGACATGTTACGGACGAAAATTTTGGGCTAGCGGGTATTAGGTGCTTGGGGACGAAAATGGGTGCTTTTTTCCCCGTTAATAATCAGGTATATGGTAACATTTCTAAAGTGTTAATGCATTTTAATTATGAGTAATGCTTATGTTACCGAAAAGAGCATACCGAATTCATGAATCGAATGACATAATATAATTCTGACTATCGATTAATATTAATTTATAATTAATTAACGGTCATGATTGTACTACGTCATTCGGTGCATAAATTTGGTGCACTTCTTTTTATAACTGTATTATTTTCCTTTAATTATACTATAACATTGCAAAACAATTCACTCTCTCTATTTTTTATTACCTTAGGTTCTCACTATTACATAATATATATAATAGAAAACCCTATCCCATTTAGGTTTATTCGAATTTAACCCGACTTAGGCCCAAATATTAGTAAACTAATAACAAGTTCAATTACTAATTGGATTTACTGTAAAGGGGTGCTGCCCCTTCACCCGAATGTATATGCGTAGGGGACTTTAAGCCCGTATAAAGTATAAACCATATCCAACAATTTATAAAAAATGAGTTATAAAAATATGAAATGTTACTTATCAAAATTACATTCATAAGATTTTCACAAGAAATGCTACCATAGACACGTATTAGTAACATATTTCCAAAAAGTGTTACTGTAGGTCATTTTTTTTTGTAGGGAGTGAAGCAAAGAACGAAATGAAGAGAAAGAGGAAAATGACGGCCCGTTAGGGCATGTCAAGATCCTCAAAGATACCCGCCACACCTTCCTGCCATTTTCAGTCAATCCTCATTTTGCCACCTACACTAAATTTTCAATTTTTTATTTTGGGTTTCAATCCATTTTAGAGCAGGAGGTTGAGATTCACTATCAAACAAGTCTAGGTTTTGTTTCAAATGAAATAGAAAAGGAATTGGGTGTTTTTACATTTATCTAGAACTAATAATACTTCCTCCCTAATTAGTTTTCCAAATTTCGTCCCTAAAAATGCATTTTCCACAATTGAGGACAAAATCATATTTCGTCCTTAACAAGTTTCCAAATTTTGTACAATTAGAGACAAAAACTTTCATCCTAGAAAAAACAGATTTTTAGCTACAAAATTTTTCATCCAAAAATAATAAATTTTGTCTTAGAATGATTTCCATCCGTATTATTTCATCCTTCCCTCCAAATGGCATTCAAATTGAGTGCTAAACATTTTTTGACGAAATTACAATTTTGTCCCCTAAAATTGACAATTCTAGGATGAAACTGAATTCGTCCCTAAATTAAACATTTGTTGTATATCCCTAAAAATGTATTTTTCATAATCTATGACAAAATCATATTTTGTCCCTAATAAGTTTGCCAAATTTGTATCATTAGAGACAAAAAAAATTTGTCACAGAAGAAAAAGGTTTTTAGCTACTATATTTTTTATCCAAAAATAATAAATTTTGTCCCTAAAAATGTATTTTTACAATCAACAACAAAATCATATTTCGTCTCTAATAAGTTTTCCAAATTTTGTACAATTAGAGACAAAAAAATTCGTCCCAAAAAAAGAAGGGTTTTAGCTACAAAATTTTTCGTCCAAAAATAATAAATTTCGTCCAAAAATAATAATTTCCCACCACATTATTCCATCATTCCCTCCAAATGGCATTGTTGTTGTAGGGTGGAAATTGAGTGCTAATCATTTTGTTATGAAATTAGAATTTCGTCCCCTAAAATGACCATTCTAGGACGAAACTAAATTCGTCCCTAAATATTTCATCCCTAAATTAAAAATTTGTTGTAGAGTGAGGACTAGGTCGCCAACTTGGAAGTCTTTTCTCCTGACTTTGGAGTCGAAGAATCTTTTAGCCCGTTGCTGGTAGGAAGTTATCCTTAACCGAGCTTTGTTGCGGTGTTCTTCAACTAAGTCCAAACTTGAACGCATAAGTGTTTTATTGTCTGCTTCATTGTAAAATTCTCTCCAAAGTGAACCAGTTCCTACTTCAACTGGGACCATTACGAGAAAGATGTTTCTAAAGTGGAGGTCCTTAGAGTTGTTCTATATGCCCATAGAACTTCTAGGAGATCGTCGGCCCAATTGCCTTTTGCTACGCCAAGCTTGGCCTTCAAAGTGTGTTTAATGGTTTTGTTGACAGCTTCAACTTGACCATTAGCTTACGGTCTTGCTCTTAAGGAAAATTTCTTATGAACCCCTAACTCTTCGCAAAATTGTTTGAACTCCTCATTGTCGAATTGCTTTCTATTATTTGAGATGAGTGTATAAGGAATTCCATAACGGCACAATATATTCTTGAAGACGAAATCTTTGAGCTTTTTGGTGGTGATCGCGACCAAAGGTTCTGCCTCGACCGACTTAGTGAAATAATCCACTACGACCACAACATATTTGATGCCACTCTTACCGGTTGGCATGAGACCAATAAGATCAATTCTCCACATAGTGAATGGCCAAGGACTAATCATCATTGTCAATTGGTGGGAAGTAGCTCGCGGGATGTTCGCGAATCTCTGGCACTTATTACACTTCTTCACAAAGTTGTAGGTTTCTTCATGAAGTAAGGGCCAATAATATCCCTGGCGGATAATTTTATTGGCGAGAGATCATGTAGCAGTACGATTATCACATATCCCTTCATGTATCTCTCTCATGATATAGTTTGCATCTTCATTTGTCACACTTCGGAGGAGGGGAATGCTAAACCCTTGCTTATACAACTGATCTCTGATTAGAGTGTAACAAGAAGCTCTAGTCTGTAGGAGTGTTGCCTTAGTCTTGCTGTTAGGAAGAACCCTTTCTTTGAGATAATGAATGATTGGAGTCATCCAAGACACAGATTCAGTTGTAGCCACTGTTTGGTTGGGTGAGTTGATGCTGGGAACTTTGATATATTTGACCAGGATGTTATCCGGCACATCGGAGTCCAGCAATGAAGCTATCTTTGCCAAAGCATCCACAATGGAATTGTTATCTCTCGGGATCTGCCTGATCACATAGTGCTTGAAGGGCTTGAGTGCGGCCTTGGCTTTCTTCAAGTAACTGATCATATTTTCTTCTTTAGCTTGATACTCTCCCAAAATCTGATTGACTACCAGCTGGGAGTCAGTATTGATGTCGATCATATCTGATCCCATCTCTCTTACTAGTTGCAAACTAGTAAATTATGCTTCATACTCAGCTTCATTATTGGTGGCTTTGAATCCGATTTTAAGGGTCCATAAATGTGAGTTCCCTCAGGACTAATGAGCAAAAGACTAGCTCCGGCTCTTCTTCTGTTAGAAGACCCATCAACATAGAGACTCCATGTTGACAAGCTTCGAACAGTTTCTTGGATGTCTTCGTTGGCTGGTTGCTCGGGTTCTTGATCTAGCTGATAAGAGAACTCCGATATAAAGTCAACTACGGCTTGCCTTTTGATAGCTACTTTCGGTCTGTAATGAAGATCGAACTAACTTAATTCCATGGCCTATTTAAGCAATTTACCCAAGGCCTCCGATTTTTGAAGGACCTGTCTGAGCGGATAATTTGTTAATACATGAATGGTATATTGGGATTCATGCATTTTGGACATGGAAAAGGTGTAAAAATGATGAACAAGATGATGAATGCAAGGTAGAACACAAACATAACACATAAGCCCAAAAAATTTCAAGGTAATGATGGAATATTACCTACTCCTTTCCTATTCAACACTTGAATTTTCTTCTTGGAATCTTAATTCTTCAAGTGAACTTGAAGAACCTCAAAATGTGATCCACGCAAGTCAAGGGAGAGAGAGCCAAGATAGTGATTTTGTTTCAATTGTTTCAATTTTTTTTTTAATGAAAATAATATAACATGTGGTTTATATACCATGGGCACAAAGTGTAATTTTAAATTGTCTTGGGAAGTCCTCAAACAATTTAAAATTAATCTTGGAAAAAAGAATTTATGTCAAGTCCTTGGATTTATGGTTAATTCATAATTAGCCCAAATTTTAATCCCATTAAATATTCTAACTCTTTAGAATAAAACCAATGCACCTTTGTCTCCATTATTGAATCCAATTCAATAATAATATTTAATAAATCCTTATTATCCTTGGTTAGTGCTAGTTATCCATGGATAATCATTTCTCATCAATACATTAATTCGGATGCAACTATTTATATCTGAACATCATTAATCCGATTAATGATATGTATTACTCTCTCTCCTTGAGCTTGGTTTTATGTCTGATCATTTTGGTTCACTGTGATCTAGCCATGGGCCCAATGTCAGATTCTGATATGTTTCGTTATAACTTTTTATAATTAAAGCTCCCACTAATTATGGTAGACTTCTAGCAATGTTCTGTAACCCCTAAACCATAATGAAGTGTAAACTCGAATGAACATATTTTGATCATACGTACCATGTCGTAAAATCCCTCCGTTATCTAATCCTGATTACCCTTAACTTAATCTTTAATCGAATTGTCAATCGATACAATGGAACTCATCAACATGAAACTACTTTTCATCTGACATTCATTATACTTTAGCCAGATATTTTCCTTTTTCAATTTTTATTGACATTCGTTTGGGAACTCGAGATTGGACTATTTTGAGTTAACGGATCCCATCTTAACATCACTTGTCCTCGCACATGAATAACATATGACCAAACTAGCTTATTACACAAGACATGACTAGTCTCGTGATTATACACCATATGAACCATATGCATCCTATGTTGATTCCAACCGTGATGTCTCAGGTCTAAGGATTAGTGATACACTAGCATGATCCTGCGATGCATCATTGACCATGTCCATGTGATTCATCATAATCGGTCGTATTCGATAAACAGTTCACTAACCGTTTATCTATGATAATACCTTAATGACATACCTTTTATAATCACCCACACTAATACCATCACATGATATTCAATGGAGACATTCATCATGCCTACTATGCAATGTTATTGCCCAATTAACATTACTTGCGTAAGGAATTCTTCAATGATTTGATCTTCTAAAGATCCGTGTCATCCAAACATTTCACATGCAATATTAAATATAATAT